AATCATGGAGCAGGATTTGAGTGATTAGGAGTCTTCAACAGAGTAAGTGAAATGCCAAAAAATTATGTTTTTCTTTTAAAATATAAAATAATAAAACTGTATTGTTTTATGATGCCTTTCTAAAATATTGTGAAACCGATGAAGGATACCCTCCATCCATGCATGTTTAATGCATCCTGACCACCACATTCCCTCAGCGTGGGCCACGGCCAAATTCTTGAGCCCATATAGAGCCTTACTGGCCACCTAAATATTTAATACAGGATAAAGTATTGAATTCTTGAGTCCATATAGTATTGGACACAGGATAATATATTGAATTCTCGAGCCCATATAGGGCCTCACTGGTCACCTAAATGTTTAATACAGGATAAAATAAAGAGAAAGACTTGAGAGAAACACAAATAATCTGAGGACATAAGCCCTTTTTAGACAGGAATGCGCAGACCTGCTGTGGAATCCCGTGTGCCACCTTCTCCCCACGGTTGTCCCACCGAGTCTCTAAAGTGCCCCAGAGCACAGTGAGATACCCTGTGCTCAGATCTTAGAGGATCTTTCCAGGCATCGGACTACATGATGAAACACAGGGAAAGAGACACCTGATTCATGTTGCATTCATATGATAGAATAGTACGTAGACTCTGAAAACAATGCTTTATGGATTTATCAATAAAATTAGAAAATGTTCACAATATAATATAAAGAAAGATTCATAAAGTATATAATAACCTCTTAGAAATATGTCTGTATCAATACAAGAATTTCTTTTTAAGAAAGGGAAGGGAATTCTCCAAAATTTAAGAATTATTATTCCTGAGGAAATAGATGGTTTTCATTTCTTCTATGTACTTTTCTTAATGTTACATGTTTTTCCTAAAAGAGATACTATGGTTTTGTTGTAAAAAATATTTAACAAAATACTTTGTTCTTATTTTCTTAGTAATACCAAGACTTGGTAGCATCACTGAAGACTCATGATGTGCCAGGTACAAGTATCTGAGCATTTTATGCATTACCCATGTGTAATGTGATAATAGAAGCCACTCAACCTCCAAGAAATGTATATGTAGCCAAGGGACATGTGTAGAATCTGTGGCCCACATAGCTTAAATAACTCACTCAACATTCTACAGGGTTAAGTGATATGAACTGTGTTTAATTTTCTCTTGTCATTAAAAATAATGTTCAGGGGGCTGGCCTGGTGGCGCACTGCGCTAGTGCGCCGCTTGGGAAGTGCGGCGGCGCTCCTGCCCGAGGGTTCGGATCCCACATACAGACCGGTTCCCGCTCACTGGCTGAGCGAGGCGCGGGAGCAACGCCGAGGGTTTCAATCCCGTTGCCGGTTCCCGGTCCGGTACGGGGGCAACACTGAGGGTTGTGATCCGATGCCGGACACGGAAAAAAGACAAAAGACAAAAAAAAAAAAAAAAAAAAATGTTCATATAGATTATTTAAAGACCTGCAGTATTGCTCATGATAATAAGTTAATCAAAAGAAGAGAATATTAAGCCAAATATGCAAATTCCATTCTTACATATGTGTATAAATAATACCAAGCAATTCTACTTCTATCTATAAATATGCAGAGAAAAATTCAAAGGAAAAGATAATAACGGGTACCATTTATTATCATTTTTATAGCTCATTATACTGAGATTTTCTTTAATGAAGAGTTATTTTTTATCTGAGTTCTTATATGTACCAGATCTGGGTCTTGGAATGAGTCACTTAACCTCTGTCACTGTCCTCATTTGTCAAATAAAGATTACCATAACAGCCACTGCACAGGGCTGTTGAGGGGTTAAATAAAATAATATAAGAACGTATCAAGAATAATGCCTGACAAGTAGCAAGTCCTCTATGGACATTAGATGCTAAATTAATCTTAAAGCTCATCGTTACACATTAAACACAACATTTCTTTGAAAATACTCCTTCATGTGACCGATATTCAAGACACAGTTCCAAGGTCCTGGGCAAGTAGAAGCTGATTTCCACAGCCTGCTCTGTCTCACATCTGCCAGCAACTGTAATCTAGTCTATTCTTGGATGCATCTGGATTACAAATAAAAATTTGATTTTTCTGAGTCATAAGCTTCTTCGTGACGTCTGAATTGATTTCAAAAACACTAAATACCCCAGTGCTTGTGTATATGGCATATTAAATAACATCAATGAGATATTCCAGCATCTAACTGTTTTTTCTCCTGTTGTGTTATGGAAAAATTAAGGTCAGCGTTCTTACGTGAGTCCTGAATCAACAGCAAATCACAGAAATATAGACATAGGGACTGAACACAGCAGGTATGTCCTCATATTTCCAAAACAATGTTTCCACAGTATGAAATGTCAGGGAATGACTGAGTGGGTACAGAACAAGCCCTGCCCCACCTCGAGATGTGCACATTCATGCCAGGGATTTCTTTCCAGATGGTTATCCCAATTACCCATCTGCCCAGCACTCGTGGGTACAGGAGACCTCAGAACTGCTCAGAACTGTAGCAGTTCATAAAAAGCCCCAGCGAGCCACCTCACCCACCACTTCCCTGGAGACACCAGAACAGCCCTGCGTGCCTGTCACTGGCCTGCGACCTCCAGCTAACGGGTGCTGGGGAGCCCGCCTGGGAGGNCCATGTGGCTTGTTCTCTTGTTTGATGCAACTAAGTCTCAGCTTCCCCAGAGGAGTTTATCTAGATACAGTGTGTGGTACCAGCAATAGCACAGACACAACCTTGCTCAGCTGATAGATAACTGAGTGATATTATTATCTAAGACCGCCCCAGAAGAGAAGTTGAGGACTGTTGAGCAGCAATACTCTTTGCAGTGGAGTCTGCAAGAATTCCCAGGGTAGCAGATACATTTCTTATCATTTCTTTGTTTATGGCTATGACACACCACGGTGGGAAATATCTGCCACAGGAAGCAACTCCAGAATCCCAGAATTCACCAGGTAACTCACATTTGACCTTAGGTTTAGTGAGAGGGGGCTGGTTCAGTGATTATTGCAGTGATCAGTTTCAGGTCTATTATGCATTGATAAGAGAGCAAATATCCCGATCCACCTTGTGCTCTGGTTGTCCAGGTGTCTAAATACCTGAAGGCCCAGAATGAGATTTCCCAACCACAAAATTAAATGTACCCCATAAGAGCACAGACAATTCTTCTGTCTGTGAATTTGCTGTATACTCAAATAATGGAATTAAACCAAGGGTCAGTTGTAGTACTAAATAATG